ACGCTCTTCCGATCTTCGTACGAGGTAGACCCCCAAGATGATTTGAGCAATGCATAAATGATAGGAAGTATAGGGATGCATTGGTGGGTTTTCGTGAGTAACTCGCGTCTCCTTGGGTGTGGACAGAAGCGAAGCTTCTGTTAGCTATCGTTTGATCAAAAGGACATGTTTGGAGCATTTTTTTCATGGTTCTCCTACCGATACTTATCAGAGGTTCGCCTTGAGCTGCGGTTGCAGCCACAAAAAATTCTCCCTTGCTGCCTGCAGTAACACTGTAGACAACTACTCTACTTCAGCTCTAGTGCAAGTTGCCTACTAAGGCCAAGTAGGCATTCATGTACCTGCTTGTGACAGAATACACTGCAAGTGTAGGTGCGTAGCCTGGCGCGGCGCACCACAATTAGGGGCGATTCTGGGAAAATTTTCCCAGCATTGCATTGAGTACACATTCATTGAATTAACATGTATAAACCCTGACATACATACATATCATCCCCCAAAATCAAGTATACACTAGGGGCAAAGGTAGCGCCCAAGCAACGGCGGGCTCGGCAGCAATGAGTTAAGCAGCGGCCTGCGTAGCAGGCACTGCAGCAGCGGATACAACAGGCGCACAAGCAGCAGGCGCAGCAGGCACAACTTCGACAGACACAGCTACTGTAGGCGCAATGTCGACAAACGCAGCAACAGCAGATGCGACAGTGGACGCAGCCACAGCATACGCAACAGCAAGAAGCGTAACAACGGCAGGTGCTTTTTCAACAGCCGCAGCATCAGCAGGCGCTGCAGCACGACGCACAGCTACAACTGACGCAGCAAAAAGAAGGACAGAAGCTGGAAGCGTAGCAGCAGCACCAAGTGCAGCGAGCGCAGGTACAGAAGCGGGTGCCAGTGTTCACTTCAACAAAACGAGCTTACAACTATAATGAGCTATTTTTCCTCACGGGACGGTACCCTGTCAAGCTTGCGCTCAGTGGAGAATTTTTCACTGCAGCGTCCCGTATGTGTTGGGGCTATTTTTGAATTTCACTTTGGCGGGCCTCTCTTGCAGGGCACCTACTGACTGGCCTCCGCCTTCGTAAGCTATTATCCTACTAACTAGGTAGACAGCAAATTCATCTCAATGGATTTTCCAACGTGTTCGGTAATATTTTTGAATGTATTGAACATGTTGAAGTGAGTAGAACTAATGTTAATTCTTTCAAATCAAAAACATTTTTCAGTCTGAAATACTAGTTAACGATGAACCCATCAGTACAACAAAATATGGAAAACTTTCCAGTGTTTTCAAGCCTACACCCGATATGGGCCAAGCAATTCCGCGGCGTTCTGATCCCGGCTCACGTGACGCTTTATTGGGCGAACAGGCCAAGCCTTCCCACCTACTTTAGCTTCAGGATGCGAAGAGCCGAGATTCAGGTGCCGACCTTCCCAGTCAATACGAGCTTTCCGGGGAGACCAACGCGTTATCCCTAGATCAACTTTCATTCTCGGAGCAGCAGTTAGGATTGTTCAAAGATCTCCGATCCTGGATGGCCTGCAGTAGTAGTTAATACTTGCGAGACAACATCATAAGCAGCACGCCGCAACCGCCTTGGCCCGTTAAAGTAGGACGGTGCTCGCAAAGGCGTATGAGATGCTTGAAGCAGCAACTACGCAGTGAACAGAGTAGCGACTCGCAGCGTGACCCCAAGCGAGTCGCCCGCCAGCAAAACCTAGTTCTCGGCCGTTTGGTTGGCTTCTCCCCTCCATTTGTTTTTGTCCGTCGCCATGCTTTTTCCTGCCTATGCCGTTACTCTGCCTTTACCCGTAGCTTTGGGCCTCCTACATACTCTGTCTTTTTTTCGTTTTCTTTATTCGTGCCCAGTTGTGCTTCCATTCTCTCCCGTCTCAGTTCAGTCGCATCTACCTCTCTCCACTTTCTGCCATTCACTCTTCCCCCAAGCTCTGTGTCCGTTAATTGTTGCACTTCTGCCTGCCGTATTTCTCCATGGTCGCTTGGCTCACTTCAGTTCCGTTGACTCATGGGGCGCGCAAGTGGAGGACCCGGAGCACCCAGTTGAGGGCCACTAGGTGACTGACCTCCAGTACAAGGCCCCTCACGTGAAGAATGTCGCGATGGTTATTCTTTGGGGGACGACGGAAATGCTCACGGTAGAATCAGCCTCCTGCTAGATTAGGAAGCCTGTGAGACGAGCATCAGTAGCAACGGCAACGCGGTGTTCCTTGCCCCCGTGCTGAAGCTGCTGTTTCTGCTACTGATGATAGTGGTAGCCTGTGCTGTTGCCTTCTGCTGCAAGACTCTAGCAGCAGCGGCAGTACTCCCTGCAGCAGAAGGTGTATAAACAGTAGCGGCTACAGAAGAAGTGGGAGTGTTCCGGAAAATGTTGCTGCAGCTCGTTTTAGCTGGGGCCCCCAAGCCAGTTGGGGGATGACCGTTTCGTTGGCGTGCGCGGAAACATCAACAGCAGCAACAGAAGCCGCAGCAGCTGCAGGTGGCTGCGGATGCAGCTTTAGTTGCTCACGGAGCTGTCTTGTTACAGCTCCTCTGTCTGTTGAAGAAAGCCAGCACTGGCCTTGAATTCCTCAAAAGGAAGACAAGCCCCTTCAAGCCGCTGAGACAGGGAACTACTGCCTGCCATCGCAGCACCAGCAGATGTATCTTGCTGCTGCAGCCGCATCTGCTGAAGCCGCTGCATCTTATACTTCCAATGGCGCTGCTACCAAGCAGCGTGTGCTGCAGCGGCTATGGATACCATTGCTAACAGGACTAACAGTGACATCGACAAAAGCAGCAACAAAAGGTGCAGCAACAGTAGCGAAACCAGGCAGCAGAGTTGTGTGTCCGCAATAAGGTGAGGCTGAAGAGCTCTCTTTAGCCATCCCCTTATTGCGGAGACAGACAAACCTGCTGTGAGGTTCGCCGTGCTGCAGCCACAGGGGGTGAGCTTAGCACCTGCTGCAGATGCTGACGGAGTGCACTAACACCAGCAGCAGCTGCAGCAGCAGCAAGCAATGCTGAAAAGAGGCCACGCGGACAATTAGTGCCTGGAAGGGCGTGCCTTCCGCTGAGCGTCAGGATGTCGGTTCCGCTACTGGTGCAGCTGCTGTTACTGCTGCTGTTGCTGCTTCTGTGCAGCAGAAACGGCTGCCTATGGCAGTCGCACCGAGGAAGAAGATGCTGGTGCTGGTTCAAATGGTTGTCGACGCCCTGTTGCGCATCCCCTTGCTGTTTCTCCTGCCCCCCGTGCTGTCCCCTGCTGTAAATTCTCTCCGTAAGGTCTGTCCTCATCCACTGCTGGGACTTCTGTTCGCATTAGCAGCCGCTTCCTCAGATGCATCGCAGCTGTCTCCTGATTATGATGCTGGTGCTGCTGATCAGTAGCACATGTTTTGCTCGAGCAACGCGGGGAAGCTTCACTGCAAGCCTTGCTTGTTGCATTCAATGTTTATGTGTCTGTTTATGCATTTTTCCGTTTCTTTTCTGCTCTTTGTGTTTCTTTCCTTTGTCGACCTGCATTTTCAGCAAATTCTCTTCGAGGTGTTGTTGCCTTCTTCAGCAGCAGCGGTATTTGTCGAAGGAATCAGATGCGTGCCATGGTGAATCTCAACCCCTAAACTCAGCCTCTGGGCCCTTGACTCTAAGCCCTAACCCCCAAACCCTATAGCCTCAACCCCAAAGCCTAAAGCCGTACGCCCTAAACCCTAAACCCTAAACCGTAAAAACCCTAAACCCTACACCCTAAGACTCTAAAACAGCTGAAACAGCAACTCCACGACGACACACATTGTGCTCTCTGAAGTTACTGCTGTCCCAGCTAAGACACTTAGGAGTTCCTCGTCTCCCTGCCGGTGGCCTATCGTTGATGCATATCGAACACTGAACAGAAAAACGGCTGAATGAATGTCTGGTGGATCTTCATTTGAGTTATTCAAAGCGTTCGCCCTTCGACAAAACAACGATCTCCCTCAGACCGCCAAAAATTGTGCGGAGGGGCTAAGCACTCCCCTCTGCTGCCTCTATCTGTCTCGCGGTCACATGAACTGCAGCAGATATCGTCGCCCCCAGGGCCCTTAGGAGCTGCAACTGAGCGAGAGGGCACATGTCAATGGTTCTGCATCACCTGAGCTCCCCACCTGTCTCTAGTGGCCCTGAGCAACTGCTCAAGGCCGTCGGGCTGTTGGCAGGAGGGGGGGGTCGGGGGAGAGGTCTTTCCGGAGTTGCAGCATTCTTACTGTAACTCGTGCAGCAGCAAGGCAGCCCGACGTACAAGCCTCCCTAAGTCCCCTTGTCAAACTATGCTGCCACTGTCTTCCTCAAACACTTCCTTTTCCTCCCGAAGGCAACAAAACAAAAGCAAATGAGGATGCATGCCCTCCTCTCCGAAAGGCTCTGCTGCTGCAAGAGGCCTAATTAAACCCAGCCCCAGAGTAGCTTCTTAAATGTGGATGGTAGCAAATGAGCTGTCGCTATGCCATATATATATATATATATTATATATTATATAATATATATAATATATATATGAAAGCTTCATGCCGCACACCAGGTCTGCTGGACTGGGCTGCAGCACCTGCCAACACACGCGTGACTCATATCCAGCACAGCGCCTGGCCTTCACTGCCCTTAGGGCGTCACCCCGACTCGGATAAGATAAGGGTTTAACGCTGATGCTTCAGGAATTGGTGGCTGTGGGTCAAGCTTTAGTGGGTAGCTGCGGCCCCAACGTAACACCGGACCATCCCTGACCAAACTGAAGCGTGCGGTTGCTGAAGCTGCTGCAGCGGTTGCAGCTGCTACAGCTGCTGGAGCTGCTGCCGCATTCAGTTGGGCTGGCCTTGAGAGAGTCAGCAGCCACTGAAAGAAGTCGGCAACCCCATGGCTGCCAGGGCAGCGGCGTCCGGATTGGCTTCCAGCCCTGTGTTTGCCGGTGTTGCTACTTTTGCTGCTGGCGTGGTCCCGCCTGCAGCAGCAGCAGCAGCTCTCTTCTTTTCCTTCTTACGCTGCTTCTTCAGTTCTTGCTCCCTCTGGAGCTCTTCTAGGCGTCGCTTGACCCTTTCAAATTCATCTTCCGCCTCCGCAGCCCCCCCTTCGGCTCCTGCGCCGCCCGCAAGGGCCCCGAATCCCCCTGACGTTCCCTGAGCGCCTCCTCCTTGCTGCTGCTGCTGCTGCTGCCTTACAGGCGCATCCGCTTTTGTCTTTGGGTTTGGAGGCTCCCACCCAGTCCCCGCCGTCTGCCGCGCTGCCTGCAACTTGGCCTTAACCCGAGCCAAGGGCACCCGCTCTACGCGCATACTCATTCCTGAGTGCATACACCAGCGACGCAACAGCAGAGAGCAGAGGCGGCAATACGTGCTGCAGCAAACAAAGAAGCCGCGGCTCTCTAATAAAAAGATAGTAGACATAAAGAAGAAACTCCCTGAAGACGCAAATGAGCTGCACATACACCTGGGGACAGCCAGGCATGCAAACAAACGCAGAAAAGAATACCCACCAAGAAGCCGGTTGTGGTTGCGGCCATTAATATGATCCAAATAGGCTTGTGAGTCCTTGCACAAACACTCGCAAATGTCGCACCAGAACCTGCAAACAGCGCCAACACAACAATGTTGCGGATGCTGCTGCTGCTGCTCGTTCGTTTGGAAATCCGGAGATACAAAATGCGCAGTCACTTCAATGCACAACACAGCAGCAGCAGCAGCAGCGGCATGGTCATCAACGGCAGCAGCAGCAGCAGCGAGACGGCGTGCAGCAGTAGGAAGAGCACAAGTATGGCGATATTAACGGCAGCACAAACGGGATCACGAGCGTGAGCCTCACCATCATCAATGGCAGCAGCAAAGGAGTACAACCCAGATAATGCCGAACAGCAGCAGCACGAAGCCAAACAGCCTAGCACTGACACGTCCCAACCAGCAACAACACAGGCAGCAAGAGCTCCGGCAGCAACAAGCGCAGCAGCAGCAGCAGAAGCAGGAGCAGCAGCAGAACGTACCCTCCCTGCTGCATCCTGGGGGTCTGCAGGGTGACCATTTTCGTGCGGCCGACTTCTCTCTCGAAGTCGAGTTTAAATGTGCGCTGCTGCAGCTGCTGCCGGTAGCCGCACGGCGGCAGCGGCGGCGGTTTGGGCTTCTCTCTGGGTTTTGGTAGCAAGTCTAGAAAAGATTCAACCCCCAGCAACGAAGCCTTTTCCTTGGCCTTCTCCTCGTAATACTCCTTGTCCCACACCTGCAATAAAAGCAGCAGCAGCAGCATCAGTAGCAGCAGCATATTCAGCGCAACTGAGTGCGTCCCTTGCTGCTACAGAAGCAGCAACTGCTGCATCGGTGGAAACGCCTGCAAATAAAATGGTAAATTCAAGCAGCAAGTGCAACTGGGAAAGCAGCAACAAACGCTTCAGCACGTGATGCTGCAGCTGCAGCACGTGCTGCTGCAGCTGCAGCACGCGATACGCGCAACAGCACATCAGGCAGGGCAAAACAAAGAACAGCAGCAACGGCAGCGAGCAAGAATGCAACCAACCACAACACCCCCACAGCAGCCCCAACTGCCCACATCCTCTGCTGCTTCTCCTGCCGCTATTGCTGCTGCTGTTTCTCCCGCCGCGATTGCTGCTGCTGCTGCTGTTCTCGTTGTGGGTTTGATTGATGCCTCACCCTGCGCCCTAAGTTGTCGGTTGCCTCTTGGGGACCCTGGCGCTCAGGCTCACGTTTCTGACTGGAGTGTTGCTGCGCTGCTGCTGCTGCACCTGCTCCAGCACTCTGGGAGCCCCCTCCCCCCGTGATGACAGCAATACGCTGCGACGCTTTAGCAACGGCATCCGAGGCATTCCTTGGCTGCTGCTGCTTCCGCGGTTGCTGGGAAGAACGCGCGAGGCCCTTCCAGTCAAACCCGCCACTGTCTTCTTCGTCGTCATTCTCTGCTGCAGCTGCTGCTGCTGCCTTTCTGCTGCTCACGGGTAGCGGCATGTCCTCTGGCAGCTTACATGGCTTCAGAGAGGTCAATAAGTCGGGGGCCCCAGAGGAGCTTCCGCTGCTGGGACCCCTTCCTGCCTGTTGCTGCTGCTGCGGAGCCCCCATAGGTAGGGGGCCCATCGGCAAAACGCCCTGGGGATGCATCTTGCGGGCTCGTGTTGCTTCCGCTGCTGCCGCAGCAGCAGCAGCAGCAGCAGCGGCTGAGGTCCCACGGCAGGTCCTGCGGCAGCAGCTGCTGTCGTGACGGGTGAGGAGGTGGCTTGGAGCTCTGCTGAATCAACAGCAGCAAAGCAAAAACAAATTTGTTCTAATGCCTAGAGGGCCTTCAGCTGTCGCCGCTATTCCAGCTGCTGCCGCTGCTGCTGCTGCTCCTGCTGCTGCTGCCGTGGCTCTAGACTGCAGACCTGAAGAAGACAAAAGAAATAGATAAGTACCCTGAAATGCAAAAGAACCGATACCGTGTGGATACTCGTGGGCAGCAACAACTCCGCAGCCAACCATCGCCTTGCATGCGGCCCTGCAGCAGCTGCTGCTGCAGCACTCCAGCTGTTGCTGCTGCTGCAAACCAGTTAGAATGAAGTAGAAGAATATACTCTTGCTCTTTTGTTACTTTTGCTCCGATGCTGCAATACGCCTTAAGAGATGCTCGATATGGCTTAACGCCTCTCCTTAATCTTACCTTCTGCCAAAGCAGCCTGTTCTGCCTAGGCTGACAGACGTAACTCCGCTTGTGTGAATGTTCGCTCCACAGGGCCAAGTAACTGTTTATTAGTGGCCTCCGGTGTTGGTACATACGCCAAAGATGAGCTAGTGCACTCTTGTATGTGGGGCTGCTGCCTCTCTGCAGGTGTTGCAGGGGAAATGCTGCTGATTAGGAGGTAGCGCCTCTTCTCTTCACCAGCAGCAGCCCTTTGTGCTGCTCCGTCCAGGATGCCTGGAGACTGAAGAGGGGGCAATATCTGTTGGGAGTACATCTCTGCTGTTTTGACTGCATTGCAGCTCGTGACTCTGCTCCCCTGACGTCATTAAGGTTGGTAGTACTTCAAGCCTAAGACGGCAGGGACGAGCCGCAATCTACACGGCTCAAAGAAGCTGCCTAACTCAAAGCAGTGATTTGTTGTGAAGAAGCCTCCTCTGAAAAAAATGATATTCTGCTCTGCGTCTGTGTTAGAAGGTAACCCTGCTTCCCCCGCAAATAGTAGAGACCGGTCAAGATTTGCCTACGATAGTGGAGGCAGTTAACGGCTACGGGTGCCTTCTCGTTTTGGATTGTACGCACTACTGGTAGCACAGAACTGTGAGGGTTGTTGCTGCCAAGAGAACTCGTGAGAAACACTTTCGCGTGAGCCAGCCTTTCAAATACGATCGGCGGCGCTAGGACGTGTAGTTGGGGGGTTCCAAGTTTCTCTGGTTGTTTATGTTTGGTATACGAAGCATAACAGGAGCGGTGCAGCTCTTGCTGGCACCTACATCGTACGGGGAGGCACCACAATTGTGGCTTTACGCAACGAAAGCTTACCCCGTCTCAGGTGCACATCTAGACTACGGGGAACTTCCAAAATGCGCTGAGAAATAGGTTTATCCCTATATCGGGAGGAGGAACAGAAAATAACAGAATTAAGAAAACGCAAACAATCGGAGCACTAGAGCGCTACACTGCTGAACAGAAGCTTCACAGGAGTGTCCCTGGTTCATCGCAAACTAGAGCTTGTATGTGTGAATGGGCTCGTGAGTGCAGCAGCCGATCTGTAGCGTCTAGGCATTCATGCAGCTGTGGTGCTTGCGAAGCTCATCAACAAGCGATTTCTTGTGGTTCCCAACGAAATGTGCCTTCACCAACGACTCATTCTAGCCGCCTTTCATTCGTAAGTAAAAGCGTGCAGATGGTTTAGCGGGCAATGCCCCGATCAAAACAACAGTTGAGCTAGTGGAGAGGTCCATTAGGCGGAATAGGGCTCCCCACTTAGCCAAGGAATGCATCAAATTCTCGGGAACAGCTGACGCCAGAGAGCACCTCCAATTCAAGGCTAGCCCGCCCATCGTGTTTCCCTCGCCATTTCCACTCCCGTTCTCTGCATGAGGAATTCTGACCCCTCTCGTGCCTCTCACCTCTGTGGACGTATCGCTCGTTGGTCACCCAGGCACAGTAGGCTGTATGCGGCTTGAGAAGAGTCCTGGGGAGCAGCAAGGTATGGCCTTGTTGTTGTTAGGAAGTGCATTCCCACTTCCCTGCTAATTGCTTACCTGTGGTCGACTAACTGTTTATAATTTGTCTGCGTGCATGCATGAAAGAGGCTCAGGGGGGTTTGGGTATGCCTTGCAGCAGTAGTTGCCTCTTCTTCTCCTCACCTGCCCTCGCCCTTGTGTGGCTTTATTGGGGATGCTTGCAGACAATGTGCGAGAGGGTCAGTTGCCTATAGGGTAAGTCTCGACTTCAGTATTTTATATCTACTGCAGCTGGTCACTGTCCCGATAGAGTTTCTTTGTGGTTGCAAATGTCTGGGCCCCCTGCCCGTGATGTCTCTACTAAAGCTACAAACTGCCAGGTAAATGCATCATTTACATCTACAGAAGGTCTGCTGTATATAGTTTTCGGTGTATTTAGGTGTGTTTGTTTCGTTGAAGGGCGTGAATTAGCATAGCGCCCGATACTGTCGGTGATGGCTGGCCCGCGGATCGTTCCTCTCGGAAAAGATCCTGAATTCTACATTACTAAATGGGTTTATTGTTTTTAAAGAAAAGTTTTACTTTTCATATACTTCATTTGATTATTAAGCGCGAGGATCCCCGAACAAGGCACATAGCGGTCTCGAGGAGTATCGCTATGCGGCCGCTGCACCGTGTGTAGGAGGACCGGTGGTGGACTGCTGCAGCGTTGAATTGTGAAATTTGTGGAAAAAATAAAAGGTAGCCCCAATATAAAGGCAACATAAACTTAACATATAAATGATATTACCTATTTAAATGCAAATTTCCCTCTAACTCTCAGTCGTATACCTTTGGGGCGGGAGGCGTCCACCGGACCATTCGCTGCGCCACCGTCGGGTGTTAGTTAATGTGCGCGTGCCGGTCCGCCTTTGTGTCTGTTCATTGAGACTCTTCATATCTCTCCCCAATTGCGTAATATTGTTTTTAAAATCGTTTGTTTTCTACACGGAGAGTCTTTTTGTCGAGACGGAAGAAACAACAAGATGCGCGGCTGGGCCCACGCATCGGCCGCCTTGTCTCTGTTGGCTTTCTCGCCTGCAGCCCTCTCCATTGCTGTTTCCCGCAGTGGTAGCAGCAACAGCTACACAAGCATGAGCAGCCACAGCAGCGGTGGAAGCTACAGCAGCGATGTAGGTGCACCTTCAGAGCCTTCTAGCCACGACACCGACATGCAGCAGCCCCTAGGCCCAGGCGACGATATCTTGACAAGCCCAGAGGCTACTCCTATTGAGGGAGTGTATGGCCAGGGCATCGCGGGTATCCCTCCCATATCGGGGACAGAGCAGCAGCAGCAGCAGTTTGAAGGTCCAGCACCAGAAGCAGAAGAGCCCACAATCCAGTCTTTCTTTAGAAGGGTGACGGAGTTGTTTGCTTCACTCCGCCCAAAGCTCGACTGACAAGAGAACCAATAAAGAAAGACGAATTTGTTTGTTTCAACTCGTTTGTTTACTCATTGCCGTTTCTTCTTTGTTGCTTTTCTTACTTGCTCGTCGAGTAGGGCACCAGCTGAGGCATTTGCATAGAGGGGCTTCTTTCTCTATTTTGCATCTCCTTGCATCAATTGTTCGCTCCCCCACCAACCAAATTCCTCAAAATATCCACTGCAGCTTGCAAATCTTCACCCCACTCACCAGGCAGTCAACCGAACAACCATTAGATAAGCAACGAGTAGATGCACAAAATAGGCAGTGTATATATAAGCTATATATATATATATATATATATATATATTCGTATACTGAGGTAGATGTGTAGTGAGCCCACTGACAGTACACAATATACACAATAGAGATGCATGCACAATGAGCGGATGCCCAGTTTATATATGCATGCATACATACATGCATACATACATATGCATATATATATATATATATATATATATATATGTCTATACAGATGTGTCCCAGCTTATGTGTGGTTGCATTGTATGCGGAGAAGCGGAATGGCTGCAGGGTTGTTGTTGGCTTTGGCTGTGGCCATTGCCGCCTCCTCCTCAGAAGCGCGTCTTTAGGAGCGAAGAAGAGAAGAGGCGTTCAATGCACATTGTTTATTTCCTTTTCCAGGTGTTTTGCTGTCTCGCCAATTCATACGGCCAATATACACACCCCCAATAAAAATAAAGTAGTCCTACGGCCCTGTAGCTGAATTTTAAAAACTAACATATCTATCTACCCTACTATCTGTAAAAAATATGCATATATATATATATATATTTGTAGATTCCGTATATGCGCCCATATACTCCAGTATATATGCATCTCATTAGTAAATAGATAGAAGCATATATACGCAAGTACATATACATATACACAAACACAAATATACTTATATATATGTATATATATATATATATATATATATAAACAGGCAAATCTTCATACAAATATATATATATATAAGCACACGCATAGACACATACATACATACATATGCACAGGAATCTATATATATATATATATAT